TCAGCCAATCACGTTTGGTGTTCACCCTAGCCATATAACAATTATCTTTGATCGTACCTACATCACATGCAAGCATATCCCTAGCCCTATTGGGCATAAAACATGAGAATACGAATACGAGCTGATCATTGGGGCTAAAGTGCAATGAACGATAAACTCCATTGTGCATGATTTGCTTACGTACATGCTCGTTTTTTTTAGATATTCCTTAATTTGCCGAGTATACAAATGAAGCATATTAAAGATGGCATAACTACAAACACTAGTATTCTGATCTGATATTTTAGTGCCGACACCGTGGCAGAAGGTTTTATTCAACTTTTGAACGATGAAGACAAAGTGGGAGAAGCCATGACGGTCTCAATTCATGATGGAATTGGTTATCACAAATTTCCAGAAGAAGTTCAACTTTGACAAATGATTCGGTTGAAAACAAAATTATTTTCATGTTTAGGTAATATGAATGACATTTGTTTATTTTGTTGAAACCATAAACAACGAGACATGATTCTATAACCTGTATTTTTATTTAGCCAACCGCTAATCAAAGTATTGTTCCCGGTTATTGGCAGCCATGGTAACGTTCTGGAATAAAGTTTGGTGCAAAATTATGGGAAAAAAATAATGAAAATGTTAATTCTTTTAAATTTTAATCATAGAATTATCATTTTAATAATACTATTTAATTATGCGTTTCCAACAAGTGGCTCTTCATCCGTAAAAAATATACATATACAGTAGTAATACGTACAATTTGATTATTAAGAAATATATCCAGTATATACATATATACACAAAAATATGATATTACATTAAGTCGAAATTCTGTCATTACCTAATTTCATTAAAAAGGTTGATTACATTGCCATTGGTGACACCCCACAATATTTGAAAAAGGCAATTGTGTTGGGAAAAGTTAATCAATAATTTGTCGTACAGGAAAACATTAAAAAAACATAGTCTGCGAAAATTTTTATAGTATATTTTTTGAGTTGAAGAGCGAGGTTTCCTTCGGCACGTGCAAACTTTTGTCATTTTTTCAAAATACAAAAGCAAAACCCCTCACTTTTTGCTGGAGGGAGATGTAAAACAGTCGGAACTAATCGGAAAACCAGATTTGAACCTCAATCATTGTAATATTCCCAAGGAAAAAGTGTTTTTTGGCAAATTTTTCCTCAAAAACAAACTTTGGACCGAATTTTTTCACTCCTCGAAACTGTCTTTAGTCGTTTTGAAAGCTGATTTTCCCGCGCGTCGGCTTCAACGAATCATAGGCCTTCATCATAGGAGTTAGCCTTCCAGTTCATTTATAATGGGGCGGCTGCCCCAGTTCGGGCAATTTGAAGACAACAGCAAGCGATTTCTTGTGTTTTGACTATACCATGAAGCCCAGTGATGGTAGCCGGCTAAATCATTATGTACAAGAGCTTAAGAAGATAGAGACTAAATTAAATGTTCTGCACGCGAGACTACTAAAGCTCATGATGGTTCCTTGTTCACGCCAGATGGTCGCAGACTAGTTAATGGCAACGACTTTCTCCATGCCTTTAATGAAAAACATCTGTCATCCATGGTAGCCAAAATTAAGGAAATAAACGAGGACTTGAAAAACTGGAGAAACAGCTTGAAGTATTCAAGAGAGTTTTTAAAGGGATACACTACAAGCACACTACAACAAAGAGAAGGAAAAAAGAAAACCAAACCAAAGCTTCTGCTAGGAAGCGAAACCGTTTTCAGAAAAATATCCAAAGAGTATGTAACCTATGCGCCAAACGCCCAATTCCAGATCTGAAAGAATTTCTTACTTATCCACCCAATGTTATTGTCCCGAAACATTTTATACATGTGGAAAGTGATTCCTCCGAACTATTCACAAGAGACGCTCCATGTGTAGCGCATTTGCTACAACAACCGTATCTTAGCAATGGAGCAGCAAGCCTTGTTATAAACAATCTCCCAGCAAAGGCCCAGGAAATAGTTTTTTCTGCCCTTTATCCTGAAGAGTATTTTAATGATGGTGGTGATAGTGATGATGGATCAAATGATGAAGAAGAGCTAAGCGATAGTGAAGGTAATGAGAGCGACAGTAAAGATGAAAGTAAAAGTGAATATGAACAGGACATGGATATGGACGAGAACTGTTTTAACATACATACATATATATATATATATATATATATATTCGAGAAACCGACAGCTTTGAGTGTTCAACAGATGGTAAACAGTACAAAGTGAACCATAGGTTGAATTGCGACTCGAAATGTGTGGTTTATCTTCTTACCTGTAAAGTCTGTAAAAAACAATATGTTGCCACAAAAAGTTTGCCACAAAAAGGCAGTTAAAGATGCTGTAAAGTCCGTTCTGCGCATATATTCTGCGCATCAACACATTCCATCAGTGGGGGAGCAACCTTTGGAATGTTGTTAATATTTCGCACCTTCCGAACTTTCTTGAATTGAATCTCTAGTCTGCATTCATTTACAAGCATAGCGAACCGGAAGAGCGTTAAAAATTCAGTATAATATATATCTAAACATATTTTACAACTGTAGCACTGAGTTCAAAATGTAAACAAAGCGTTGTTTACATTACGGACTTTACATCACCTTTAATAAGGCCAATGAAAATTGATATCATGTTTCTCGTCCACAATTTTCAAAAATTTGGAGCGGGATTTTTTCATTTTTCATTATTTTTTGTATTTGAATTCTGCTTGTCAAAAATTTCCTTGACCCAGTAAAAAACCCATAAAAATCTGAAGTATTAAAAATTGGTGTATAATTCATTTTAATTTAATACGTCCTACCCTACAGTCTACAGACTACAGTATATTTCTGCACATACCAGGGCTGACATGAAAAATAGAGGCATTCTGGCGAGTAATATCTTTAGAAAGATACAATTTGAGTTGCGCTTGCGGAATGCAGCAATAAGACTTTGATCTGGAGATGAATTTGGTGTTTTTTAAGCCTATTTTTCAAAATAATGAATAATGAAAAATTTTCGTGCGGCAGATAAATCCCATGCGGGCGGGGACGAGAAACATGATATCAATTTCATTGGCCTGACGAGGTCTATAGACAAATGTTTTTCCATCAACATTTCTTGGGTAATGGACGTAATGGATTGATCAGTGATTGCGAGATTGTTTTAATTGATAAAACTGACCCAGCGGAACCGACCAGACGTGAGGCATTTTGGATAAGCAAACTAAAGACAATGCATCCTTCGGGATTGAACATAGAGAATGCGTAGCAATGTTAATTATAGTCATAATAAGATATTGTTATTTGTATGGCAAATCACTTATATTCATATTATGCATAATTAGCAAAATTGGGAGGGTATAAATTGGGTCCGCTTGTAAAGTAGGATTATATTTGATGAAGACAATAAAGTCGAAACGTAATGTGTTGAGTTGATTAACTTGTATACCTTTATGGCTTTTCGCCTAGTGATTAACCTATATATATATATATATATATATATATATATATATATATATATATATATATATATATATATATATATATATATATATATATATATTTGAAAACAATACTGTATCGTTCCTTCCTAGCTCTGTATAATGATATGCCGTCAAAATAACATCGACACTTAATTGAATGCCGGGAATGTCAAAGATTTTCTCAATATTTACGTCTGAAATATTTATACATTTGAGAAAAAGCACTGTCTAGCTCCTTTCCAGCTGTGTACAATGAATATATCGTCTAAATAATATCGGTACTTGATTGAATAACCAGGCGCCATAATGCATAACATCAATTTATATATTGCGCAGATTCTCTATTAAATGTCTGAAATATTTATATATTTGAAACTACAACACTGTGTCGCTCCTTTGTAGGCATCGTCACGCCATCGTTGATCTACGGCTTGATAACGCATGCGCATTTGAGCGGCTAAGGAAAAAGTCGGGTGTTCCGGGGGAAAGATCCTTTACACAACATGAGAAGCGAATGTTCTAAAATTTACAAAAAATTATAATAACGACAACGATTCCTCGAATATTTGTGAACTTGGCAAAAGTACAAAAGAATACTAAAATAAGACAACTGAAATTGCCTAAATAACCTTCAAAACACTGATTAAGTACAATAAATCACTTACAAAAATCGTATGCACCCCCCGGAAAGTTTACTCTATGAGTGACTGACTGACTGACTGACTGACTGAATGAATGACTGATTCGTGTGAATTCGCGAGTCATCACAACAGTGTAAAGTGGAACTTTACACTGATAAAGGAATACCGAATGATTTTCCGTGCGAATTGCGTGATCCATGCACGAGGGATGTCGCGAGACTTTCGGAAAGCGTAAAAATACTCGCCGAGTGTATTTTTACGATTTCCGAAAGTCGAGCGGAGCAAGCAAGCCTAAATCTAGTCAATCTTTTTAAATGTATTATTAGTAACTAGAAAATTAGCTAGATTAATGCATGGCTCCGTCCGCGTATTGACCTTTATGCACCACGCGGGAGGCGCGCGTGTTTTGATACTATTCGTCATTTCGTGGGGGTAATAAAGTTTCAAAATGTCTTCTTTCAAAATGTCTTTTTGGGTGGGCAAAACTAAAACTTAGGACCATACTTCATACATTGCAGAGTACCTGTATATCAAATCAATTTTAAATTTGCGCCAAAATCCGAACGACTTAATATATTATTATTATGATTAGAGTTATGCGGGTTACTGTCAAATGGCTCTTTTAGTCAAACAGCAGATAATAGTAAGATGCAGCGTTTGTAAATTCACTTGCGTCTCACTAATAAATACACGAATTATTGTTGTGCAAAGCTGACTCAAATTTTAAATAACTATATATATCAACAAATGTCTGAAATGAGAAAATATTTGGTTTTATTGATCTCGTTCGGATTTATAGTGCATTCCTCATATAATATTTTCCGGTTTGATAAATACCTACAATTATGCAATAGAGGATTTACTTAACACGATATGCCCCTATTAAATTCGTCTATATATTTATAGTTGTTATATGTCTTCTACGTAATTCTTAAACATTTTCACATTTAAATTTCTTCACATTAGTAGCAATCTAATCACAATTTCGCATCCTCTTTGCAATATAAATATTATCTGTGTTTTATGTCGTCAGTAATAAATCTAATATTGTTCATTCTGATAGCCAAATTATTGCTTTTGAAGCGGTAAAGATTTGAGATTCCTGTTGTTGCGTGTCATCTTACAACATTGGAATGTTAATTTTGTATATTTATGTGTGTATCCGCTAAACTTACAACGCGGGCTCATAATGATGGCGCGATACTAAAGTGATCGCGTGGAAGAAAACACGTTTGCTTCGCTGACAACGGTTTTTAGTCAATTTAGTACATTAACAACGCTATTGTTTAGTGGAAACCTCGCAGTTTACGAAACGAATAAGCCCCTGCTCCGAGCTGGCTTCGTTTCAAAATAATGTGCACTTATTGACACCAGAGCATAGTGTCAGTTGCATATTATCGAAAATATATAAAATTCTGAACGGTGTAGGAACAGGGGCTGATTGGATCCATAATCTGTGAGTACTAAAGAACGTTAATGTGTAAATGTTAGTTTATCTGAGTGAATATCCGCCAGCGGCAGAGGCCTTGTTTTGGTCATTTGCATGGAGACCATTTAAATGGTCACGTGACTGTTGCCATGGCAACAAAGGCATAGAAAAAAAGTAAAATCCAAAGTCCTCATATACCAACTTTGACCACATTCATACAGACTAAACTGATTTTTTTATATAATTTAATGTATTTTTGGCTATATTTGAATGGGAGCCATGCATTAATCTAGCCACGCGCGCGCGCTAGCTAGCTTATACAATTACTTTATGGTTTCCGTGTTTGGATGGCCTGATCCAAACACGCGGGTATGTTGCGAGAGTTAAGAAAAGCGCGCGAAAGCACGAGCCGAAGGCGAGTGATTTTGCGCCCTTTTCTTAACTCGAGCAACATTCCCAAGTGTTTGGATCAGGCCATCCAAACACGGAAACCATAAATTAATTGTTTTATAAAATAACAACAACACGATAGTCTTCCGTGTTTGGATGGCCTGATCCAAACATGGGTTTCGACCAATCAGAGCACGCGTTATATACATGTTATTTTATAAATATAATTAATACATGTATGCAGAAACCCTCGCCTTGCTGACAAAACCATTGTATTTTCCGAACATGAAGTATCTAAAGTTGTTGTCATGGTAACACGATAATTTTTTAAGAATATTCTTACAAATGAAAAATCGCCTAAAAATATCACTTTTAATTACAAAATTATCAATTTCCCAACATATCTATGTTAGGTATGTTATTATTATACGTAATATAAGCTTCAATTTAAGGTAAAATTCAACCACAAACGCTTCGCAAAACGTTTTAAATTAAAGTGTTCTTTATAAAACTAAACTGCCTTTAATTAAATGGCTTTATCGATAAACTTTGAGTTTGCAATAAAATGATTTCAAATTCTCGCATGCAAATAACTTTGCTTTCTTTTTTATTTGTAACGCCATACCTGATCAAACAAAAAAAGGAACGGGTTAATAATACCACACCGGTAACTCATATGCCGTCCTAGTTTTATTTGCTCTCATAGAGTGGAAAGCGCCATTTTATTGTGCCGGAGTATCAAAGATGTCTCTGAAAAGTTTCATATTTTTACAGGGCCCCTGTTCAGGTTATTGGTAAATTTTCGATGACCCCCCCTCCAAGTTTTTAAAATTTTCAATGCCCCCCTCCAGAATTGGGAGTCGAAGGAGTACAATCCGGAATTCTCTCTTATCATAGACATAGATACAATTTCTAGTTTCTCAAGATGTCTGATATACTCAAGCATGTGCTTCTCCTCAACAAAAATACCGACCTGCTGCTTCTTTCACCTTACTAGCGCCAGATGAAATGGCACCATCTTTAAAAAACATTTTAGATTGGCTCTAGGGGCGAAATTATTAACAGGTTGTTGTTGTCCGTCATTCAGCGTGGTCCGAGTCTTGAACACGTTCATGTAGTGGCCAGGATTTCCTGGAACAGGGTAATTTGCTGGAACCTTACAGAATGTCTAAGGATATCTTAAAACTGAAATCGGTTTCGAATACAACCATCAGGGACGTAGCAAAGCATCTGACGTTTGGGGGGGGGATTGTTGTATCCTTTATTTTATTCATAGAACATAATAATGAAACATGACGTGAATATAAACTTTACAATAACTTTCTAGTCCGTTCGATTGTTTTCCTAACACATGTCCTTTTTCCATAACCCAGTTCATGTGGTCAGCGGTCATTGTCAGTCACTACAGTTCTCCCCTTAATGGATTAGAACCCTATCATGCGGTATAACTATAACCGTAATAGTCTGGTTGTCGTTTTATAGAGCGACGAGGTCGTTGAGCAACAATTGTTTCTGGAGGTGTTGTTGGAACATCTGGGGCAGTTGTAACTGTTATTGGCACTTTCTTAACAGCCGTAGAGTGGCGCATGAGGCGGTGATATGCTTCATGATTTCTACTTCAGGATATCGACTATAATAGTCGACTAGCACCAACAGGTTTTCTCCGGTGGGAAATGGGCCTACGAAATCCATCCCTATCAATAACCAGTCTGCTTTTGGGAGGGTGGTGGGTTTCAGTGGGGTGAAACTAGGTTTTGTTGGCTCAGTCGCTACAAGACAAGGCTGGCACCGTTTCACGAATGTTTCCGCCTCCGTGGACATTCCCGGCCACCATACCTTAGTACGCAAACGGCTTTCGTCTTGCCTATGCCTTGGTGCCCCTGGTGAGCAAGCTCGAGAACTCTTTGTTGTAGGGACCGAGGGATAACTATGCGGTTATTTCGGAGCAGGACCCCGTCAGAGAAGGAAATTTCGTTTCGATGGCTAAAAAAGAGACCCAGGTCTTTGTTCCAGGTGCCTAACTAGAGAGACTTGAGGACTGTTTGAAGCGTCGCGTCCTTTGCTGCGGCTTTTTTTTTTTACTTGTTCGATGGTGCAGGCTCGTGGCAGTGACGCTGTGGTGATGGCATTGATCATTCTGGTATCCGCATGTTCGCTGGGATTGACGTGAGCTCGGGGTGGAGTCAGTTGTCGTGAAAATACATCGGCGGCGTTCTTTGGACCCGGTTCGTAACGAAGTCGAAAATTGAGATGTTGAATGCGCAGAGCCCAACGCTCGATGCGTAGAGGAGGTCGGGGGCTTGTAAAGATCAAGCAGTGGCTTGTGGTCGGTTATGATGGTGAAATCTGGGTCACCGCTGAGATAGTGGTCGAACTTCAAACAGCCGAATTTGACGGCGAGTGCTTCCCTTTCGATCTGGCTGTAGCGTCGCTCGACATCGCTTAGCGACCGGCTAGCGTAGGCAACTGGTCACGAAGTTCCATCTCCCTGGATTTGACACAGAATGGCTCCCAGTCCCACAGGCGAGGCGTCTACTCGAAGCTCAGTTTTACGATCTTTGTCAAAGAAGACAAGGCATGAGGCCCGCGAAATGCTGTTCTTCAGGCTATGGAAGGATTTCTGCTGATCTGGTCCCCAGATCCACTTATTACCTAAGCGTGTGAGGCGTCGGAGGGGTTCCGCTTCAGAGGCAAGGTTGGGCGTGAATCGAGCGAGAGAGTTGATGAGACCGAGAAAGCTCTTCACTTCGGATTCGTTGTTGAGGGTTTTAAAGTACTTAACTGCATCAACTTTCTGTTGAGAAGGTTGGATGCCCTTGGAGGATAGCTGCATGGCCATGAAAGTGACTTTGTCGACCCCAAAAATGCACTTTGCCTTGTTGAGGGTGATGTTATATTTCTGCAGTCGGTGGAGCTAGGCAGGCGGCAAGACGCTCGTTGTGCTCTCGTACGGTGCGACCGTAGATGGTTATGTAATCGTGAATCTATCTTACACCGGGCATACCTGACAATACCATGCTCATTACTCGTTGGAGGATTTCTGAAGCGTTGGTGAATCCCATTACCAGAGTGGTACATCTGCGGAGACCCCTTGGTGTGGAAAAAGTAGCGTACTTTCTGGAATTTGGATGCAATGCAATTTGGTGGAAACTCTTGAACATGTCCAGCTTTGACCAGATGGTAGAACCGCCCATTTCGTCTGTGGCTTCTTCAAATGTGGGTATGGGCTTAATCTCTCGCTCGACGTGTGCGTTGACGTCGCGCCAGTCCTGAGTGATCCGAACCTCGCCTGGCGTAGACTTTGGGACGACGACGATACGTGACACCCAAGGTGTTGGGCCTTCTACTGGCTCAATGATGCCAAGTGACTCTTGGATGTCGAGCTCTTTATTCAGCGCCTCTCGTAGGTGAACTGCCACGCGTGAAGGGGGGTGCACAACAGGGGTGGTACCTTTTTTCATATGTATTTCGACTTCAACCCCTTTGACGCGGCCAAGTCCCTCGAAGACCTTGCGATACTTGGAAAGGATGTTGTTCTGTCGTAGCGACGTGGGTAATGATGCTGGTTCAGGGATAGGATTTTGTTGTTCAGTTGTGGGAAAGAGGCTGCGACGAGGAGCTGGTGTGGTTTGGGACGCTGCTGCATCTGTGTGGATTTCGGTTGCGGTGTTTTCCTGCTCAGACGTACGCGAGGTTGTGCAGACCGTGAGTGTGGTGATTGGGTGGTCCCACATGAAGAATGCCCATTTCCATGGACGTGTCTCTGCCCAGGATGGTGGTACCCTTATGGTTGACGATGACAAATTCTACTGAGGACCTTTTGCCAAATGCATCCACAGTGATGTGACACGCGCCCAAAATCTCGAGAGGTTGGCTGCTGCCGTATGGGTAGATACATGTGGACGTAGGCTCCGGCTTGGAACCCTGTAGTTTGACTTTCTGGTATACATGAAAAGGGAGCACGTTGACGCTGGCTCCCGAGTCAACGAGCAATGTTGTGGGGAAACCATTGAGTAGGAGAGACATTCTAGCATTGTTTTTGTTGTTATCGGGGTGGGGAGCTTGTAGGGTGAAAATTTCCTCTTCGCTGCTATCGCGTGCAACATACTGTGCGGATTCAACAGGGGCAGTCTCCCCCCGGTGTAACGCATTCATTTCGTCATTACGTGCTGGGGGGCCCTGGGTGCTTCGGCATGCCTTTGCGAAGTGATTTCTCTTTCCGCAACGACTACATGTCTTGCCTCGGGCTTTATCACATATGCGATGTCCTAGTTCGCCACAACGGTAGCATGTCTCATGTGGCGGCGATTTCCGAGTTTGTTGCTGTTCCTGTTTCCGGGCGCGCTCGACCCAGTCCGGTTCCTTTTTGCGTTTGTCGGTCGGCTTCCGGTGTTGACGAAGACTCGAGAGTTCATCGGAACTGCTTTCTGGGTTGTTATTTTCGCTTATCTCGCTCTTTTCGATGGCTTTAGCGTGCATTTCTGCGGCTTCGAGTGAACGGGCGGTCTTTAGTGCCTCTTGCAAGGAAATGTTTGGAGTTTCCAACAGTTTACGCCTGAGTTTAGTGGAAGAACAACAAGCGACAATTTGATCTCGGATTATACTATCAGTTTGGTTGTCATATTCACACATTCGGGCTTTAATGCGAAGTCTGGTGTGCCAAGAATCGACTCTTTCACCCTCTAGTTGTGTACATTGGCGAAATTGGTATCTTTCGAAGACGACATTGTTTTGGGCCGCGAAATATTCGGTGAGTTTACTTGTTAAAGTTGCAAAGTCTGTTCCCGTGTCCGTAATGTTATTCTCAGCAATGTCTTGAACGTCGTTGCCTGCACAGTGAAGTAAGATTGCTCTTTGTCGTGGAGCAGCGTTTATTCCTTTTGCGGCGAGATAGATTTTGACTGATTTCACGTACCTTTCCCAGCGATGAGCCACGTTGTTTGGCTCGTCGTACACGTCGAACTTTGCTGGGGTAGCGAAATCCATTGCGAAATTATCTTGACTTTGATGCGACGAAAATAGTTTGTTTCTGTTCGAGAATGTCAGTTGAGGATATCAAATGGCTTGAAGAATGTTTACGGAGGCGGGCTCTGCCGACTACGCCATTGTTGTGTCCTTTATTTTATGCATAGAACATAATGAAACATAACGTGAATATAAACTTTACAATAACTTTCTAGTCCGTTCGATTGTTTTCCTAACACATGTCCTTTTTTTCCATAACCCAGTTCATGTGGTCAGCGGTCATTGTCAGTCACTACAGTTTTATTCATTTAACCATACAAGAATTTCTTGCTGCAAGACACGTGACTGAAACATTCGCTCCACTTGAAATAAAGAAGTTCATTTCCGACCATGTTAAAAGTGGTAAATGGCATTTAGTTCTTCAGTTCATTGCAGGACTTTTGGGCAAGAAAATCAAGAATTTTGATAGGGAATACAAAGATTGTGTTTTCGCGTTTGCAGAAACCTTCGAAGTTAATAATGGTAAAATTCAAATTGAATACCATGAAGTGTTTATAATGAAGTGTTTAAGGGAAGCGGGTGCATGATGAAGAGATTACTAAAGAAGTTTGCGAAAAAACTGCTATAAACCATTTGGTAGAACTACGCACTTCAACGTTTTATAATCTTTCTCTAAGCGAGTGGGCGGCAGTGACTTTCGTTTGCAAACATATGAAAAAATTGGCAAATTTGACATTGTTAGGATTTGCCGCAGATTGTTTTCCGGAGGTTCTAGGATTGCTACGAAAAAGATGCCTAAGTAAACTAGAAATAGAATCTGTACCACATGACCAGGTGTTTAGCGCATTAATGGAATTAAACTGCACATTGGACCACAAACACACGAAGCTGACTTCGTTAACAGTTAAGGTTTCTCTACAGTTACATTTACCAATCATGCCCATGCGCAATTTTATTGAAAACGGGCATGCGAGTCAACTTGAGCAGTTAACTCTAACTAGAAATGGAATTGATTCACATCAAATTTCGAAACTTTGTGAAATCTTTAACAAGGGACATTGTCCAAATCTTACACATTTGGATCTTGGAAATAATCCAATACGTGATGAGGGTGTAATGGTGGTGTGTGATACTCTGACGAAAGGGCTTCGTAAACTTAATAGATTGGCTGTCTGTGTGTGTGGGTTAACAGATCGATGTATTCCTACGCTAGTTAAGGCACTGCAAGATGAACATTGCGAACTGACTAATCTATCACTGGGGTTCAATGCCATAGGTGATAAAGGTGTAGATATGTTGTTTGAAGATGCTTTTACAAAAGAGCATTGTAAGCTTACTAACTTGAATCTTTATAAATGCTCGTTAACGGATCAATGCATACCCAGTTTGTATAAGGCACTGCAAAATGAACGTTGTCAACTGACTGTTCTATTTCTGGGGAACAATGCCATATATGATAAAGGTGTAGGTAAGTTGTTTGAAGATGCCCTGACAAAAGAACAGTGTAAGCTTACTGAGTTAGCTCTTGTACAGTGTTCGTTAACAGATCAATGCATACCCTGTTTGTGTAAGGCACTGCAAGATGAACGTTGCAAGCTAACACAATTGTGGCTTCGGTCAAATAATTTTACTGAAAACGGCAAGAAATTACTTTGTGATATAAAGGATTATGAAAGCTGTAAAGCTATGGGTTTGGAAATATTATAGGCGTCTGATCTTAACATTTTTGTGAATACATTTAAAAAACTCATTAATAATTCATGAAGAAAACACAAAGAAAAATCATAAGCGTGTCGTATCTGTATATGTGATACAGATTCATGTTGATTTACATAAACTTTAACTTTGATTTTCTCGGCTTAGACAACGTTTATTTTTAAAATTACTTCGCCAATGAACTCATAAGATGAGTCGTTTTTTAAATTGTTTACAACATTCGCGTCCGTGTTGTATCAGATATACAAACTCTCGCCTTCGGCTCGAGTTTGTATATCTGATACAACACGGCCGCTCATGTTGTAAACATTACATATAGAATATAGGCTTCAAATTAGTAAAATAAACGCTGTTTCATCAATAATTGTAGATTATCTTTGGGTTGAATCTGGGATGTTGCCAAACTATAGGGTGATTGTAATTAAAGTCTTATTATTATTTAAAGTCCCCGATCAAACGAAGATGAGAGTTGTTGGCAAGCGAGAATTTGCATGAGAGTTTTATCAACTAATGTCCCGATCCGAACGGGAACAAATGTTGCATGAGAGTTGAATTGAGTTGACTGGATATTACCAGCACGTAGCAAAAACTCTCATCAAAATTTGAACCAGTCCAAAGTTAAATTAATGAGAGTGCATGAGAGTCGACGAGTTGCATATCTCATCAACTCATTCTCGTTTGACCGAAGCTAGGATATTACGCCTCGTACCACACTATGTACAAAAGTTCAATTAATTATTGGTGCATATATAATATTGTAAAAACAAAATGAATGCTAGTTCGAAAATTGTGTGTTATAAAATGATGACAATTAAAATTGTAATTTTCAGTCGATCGAAGACATATTCATACTACAATGTTATATACAAATTACGTGTGCAAACTGCAGTGATTTGAATGACGAAGACATTAATTAAGTGTTTTATGCAGACTGCGATAATCATTTTGTCATTCCTGAAAAACTCAGTTGGCATAGGTTTCTGAAAAAATTAGTGAATATAAAGACACTTGTCGTAAGTCATTCGTTGGAAAAGATATATATCTGGGGTTTTTTTTGTGTTGGTGTAATGTACTCAGGTGAATATGATGCTTGTGATGTTACTCTGAGTGTATATCCACACGGGGCAAGCTTGAAAAATATGCCTGGCCACGGTGGGAATCGAACCTACGACCTTTGGAATACTAGGTCGGTTCGATTTCGCGGTCAGGTCGGTTCGATTTCGGAATATCACATACTCGAACCGACCTGACCGCGTAGCTCAGTTGGCAGAGCATTGGGCTAGTATTCCAAAGGTCGTAGGTTCGATTCCCACCGCCGGCCAGGCATATTTTTTAAGCTTGCCCGGTGTGGATATACACTCAGAGTAACATCACAAATATCATATTCACCTGATATAAATATCTATTCTAGTTTTATCCAGCCCGAAGTGCTTTTTGTATTTCGGGCGCTTAATTTCCTAAAGACGCGATGCAATTTTTGCTGCGATTTTCTTCTTCTGATGGAAGTGAACGAGTAGATAAGTTACGAATGTTCTGAGTATATATGTCTCACCGATGTTCCCTCATCTCAACATTCATAACTTATCCACTCATTCACGTCCATCAGAAGAAGAAAATTGCGCCTAAATTTCAGGGCCTTAAATTTCAGGCTGGTCGTTCCTTAATTCACTAGCAGAGAGGTTAAGGCTACGTTTATACTTGTACCGGATAGTTTTCCGTAGCGGCGCGAAAAAGCACCTATCCGATACAGAATGTACAACTTTCAGAATCTGAGCGAAACAACATCTCTCTGTTACAATAATTCCTCTGAAAATACGGATAGGTGTTTTTCACGTCGCTATGGAAAGATACCCAGGTTCCGGTATACGGGTGATATATCCGTACCCGTAAATCGAGGTACAACTTGCCGCTTAAGAAATCCAAGATATTCCGGGGTACGAAAACCGATCAGAGAATAGTAACTTTTGTTGTTGAGGTTCACCCTAGATTTGGAAAAAATTAACGAGGAAATGTGCATTGATTGATTCAGGTAAGATGTTGAAGTATTTTACTACTTAAACGCCCTACAAATAGTAAACAGAAAACACCTGTACCCGTTTGTCTTTTACGTGTAGACCATGGTTTACCGCGGTCGAACGGGTGGAAATTACGGGTAAACATGCTAAGATCAGCAAAATTTGGTCATCAAAATGGCGATACTCGTAAACTGGAACTTGGGCATCTTAACCTTTTTATTTCCTCTCTATGTGCCACGTTTTACGATACTGAAAAGTTAAAGGACGTCAAGGTGCATAGGGTGGTGGCAAGTCCGGCATCTCTTTCCACTTTGTCTGCGCAGTTGGTTGTTCACTTCCTTGAGCTAATCATCCTTATAATTTACGTAATGTGGACCGAGTTTCAGTGATCAAGTTCATCAACAATTTCATTGAATGGTATAGTATCAGGTTCGTTCGTGTAGCCGGGAAAATCGAAGCTGTATAAAGTTTTATGTAAATTGTATCAGGGCCAGGCACGGTTCAAATAGAGACCTTAAGGCTAGTTTCCACTCAGGAAAATTACCGTGGATTGGAACGGACAAGAAAATTTTTCTTTGTCTTGTGAGCTCTGGGTTGGAACTAATGACTTTAACACGAAGAGAAATTTTCTTGTCCGTTCCAATCATGGCCAGAAATCGTAACCCCGGCGCCCACTGTTAACGGTCAGCAGTGATTCCAGTTAGTACGGTCTAGCGCCCTGAATTACCCAAAAGCGCGAAGCTGAATAAGCATGGCCGACAAAATAAGAACGAGAGGGGCGAAGCCAGCTATTTCGTATGCTGCTTTACATAATTTATGTAATATTCATGCGGAAAAGAAGAAACGGCAAACAAGAAAAGCCACAGGGAAGTTTTTTGAGGCAGAAAGGATCATTGCAAGACGAAATGGACAGGCAAAGGTACTTGTAGTTTTGTCTTGTACATTTATCAAAATATATTAGTTTGATTTTTTATATTTAATATTGAGAAAACTGCCTGTACGAAGCAAGTACGACTTTTAATCTATTCCACAAACTTGAATTTGTTTAGAGAGAATACTTAGTGAAATGGATTGGTTATCCAACATTTAAATCCAGCTGGGAACCAGAGGAAAATTTGAATCAGACTTTGCTAAGGTGATATAAAATGATTAAATGATACAGTCTTGTCCGCCTATATACAATATATTTATTATTTATATTATTTGCAAAATCGCAAAGCAGTTTATACAAGACTGGGGCCTCTTACATTATATTTACTATTTAAGTAAAGTGCTGTTTTGTGTTCCAGGAGTTACAATCATCCAGAACCAGATGGCAGAAGAATAGACACATGTTGTTTGGCCTTCCAGTCTGGAATTATTCAGGGAATCAAGTCATCTGGGGTTGATTCTCATATTTATGTGCCATTTGACCTAGATGTGTGGCGGTATTTGACACGGGACAGGGGAACAGCCATTGGAAGGGGAGCTTTTCTGTTGGAAAAAAATGAGTTTGACAGATTTGCTCCCTTCCTACCAACTCATTGGTTTTATGTTATGGACCGTCACGGTGAGGGAACTGCAGTTGATTTCCCAATCCGAGTAAGACCATTTCTCAGCAAGTCAGGTGCCAAGAATTTCATTGTGGGAGAGGATGGAAATCTTACAAATGCTCCAATTGTGTACAGTGAGAAACTTAGTATTTATTTTGTTAAAAGGGCATGCAATGTTAATAATATATAATGAACATTTATTTTTAAATTTTTGCTAATACACAGTAGTGTAGCCGGCCCGACAATTTAGTCCCTCTATGCAAATATTTTCGTGTTAATTGACTGAGAAAAACAATCGATTTCTAAAGAAACGAATAATGATAATAATTTTGAATTTGCATGGCGGGACTAAATTGTCGGGCTGGCTACACCACTGCTAATATAAAGGTATACCCATAGGATTTGACAACAGTCTTGTTTCTCACAACTTGAGCTAGAATCTTTACTGCAGAGGTAGTTGGAAAATTTAACTAAACTTTCTTGTGCAATGATGAAATGTCAAATTCTGTGGGTATCCCTGTGTCAAATAATAGACTGAAATAAGGTTTTCCTAAAACTGTACATAAGATTCCAACATGGAAGTGCATGACTGTGCTATATAAATTAGGATGCAGCGAAGATAACATCCTTTAAAAGTTGTCTAAGTTTTTCTGCATTCTTAACACGAGTTTTAACACCCATCTCTTTTAGTTTCGCTTTAACTTCTGCCTCATTCATGTTGTCAACATTCTCCTCATCATCATCCAGTGGGGTAACACTAAGCCATGGTCGTTTTTGCCTCTCTTCTATTATTCCACTATTCCAGTATGAAGCATCCTGTTGCTTGTAACTTCTGGGTTTTCGGTCAAAGTCTTGTAGGTCATCAAGTCTTTTTACAGCTTGAAGTCCATCTGTACAGGCATCATACTTGTTGCTTTTTTGGTGGTAAAGTCTCCGAATGACATCATTTACTTTCTCAACTCCTTGTCCAGTAAAACATTTTACACCACTTGTAGCCAAAAAGAATGGCACATGATAGCACAAGATGTGCATATATGGAGTGACATTTGCTTTTTTATAGCCATCTTCAATACCACCAAGTGTTAAAAAAAGCTTTAGCCATTCTGTTGCCTACAAGATATAGAACAGTACATGTATATGTAAGGATGGTAGGAATAAAAATTTTCAATGAGAATTTTATCATTAACCCATTGAGCGGCAGCACTCTCCCCTTGGCAAGTAAAATTGTATGGCATTAGACAGAGTAAAATAATAAAGTAGGGTGCATCAGGGTGCATTGCCACTTAAAGGGTTAATTAAGTTGAATTCTCACCTTTGAAAAAAACTGTTCAACGTTTTCCTCAGAAGGGTTCCAAGAGTTCACAATACCATACACTTCCTGGAAATCCTGAAAATATAACAGCCACTGTAGCTATAGTTGTCCAGTTCTAAAATTTGTCACTGGTTTTCACCTTTCTGTAGACAGACTGTATTTCATTACTGTACATTGCTCTAATTGATCAACTTAGTGATTGTACTAATACAGCCACAGAAGCAAGCTAATTATAGGGTAATTGTTTCATAGATAGGTAGCCTCTTTATTCCTTTTGATTTGAATATAATTTAAGTTTTAGCTTGTACAGCTTGAGGGTATATTGTTAGTATTGTTCCTCGTAATCTAAAACCTAACCTAATTAAACCTAATATAATTACCTTCCAAATTTTAGTCACAGTTTCAAGGTTATCTGGGGAAACAAATTCTGCAAATGAGTCAGGAAGGTTGTAAAGGAGGGTTTTTTTATCAGCCCCCATTAGGCTGGTCCAGTCATATTTATCAGTGAGGTTCCCATTCTCATCTGGCTTGTTCCATATACTGAATGTGACCCCACATTTCTTCATAGCTTGAAGAAGCTTATGCTGATAAACATTCTTCTCAATCCTTTGATTGCCCCTCTCTGCCAGTTTATCTCTTCTTAAAACACTATGAATGAGGTTTTTTTCAAGTTTGTCTATAATATATAAAATTAATTATATTCTGTACTGTGTATTTTATTAGATATTTATAATGTAGACTTTGTCACACATAATTTTGTTCACAGCATAAAAAATTCTTATATGTGGAAAATTGAAATATTAAATCATCTAAATTGATCATAGGGTGTGTAAAATCAATGACATGCAAGCATTCCTTATATATAGCATATTATTAACAATTATTGGATGAGTTTGAGCAGGGTAACCAGAATTATTCAGACCGATGTTAATGTTATCTGCCGAAGGCTGAGGCAGATAACATTGACCTGGTCTGAATCATTCTGCATATCCTGCGTACAAGCCAAATCTAACAATTGGCTTCTTATTCATTCTGTAACAGTAACAAATAAAACAAACAAAAATTAAAACAAAATTACAATTCAATAACTTTTAACAAAATTTCACACCAATTTGT